CCACCTCTATCCCCATGCCTGCCTGTATTCCTATCCCCATCTCCACCATCATCCCCAACCCCACCTTCATAAGACACAGGGGGAGAAGTAGGCTATTCCTTTACTGATTAAAAATCTGTCTGTCCTTACCCCAATTCCCTCACATCCCATCCCCCCTCACCCCCATCCCCCCGTCCCTCATCCCATTTTCCCCATTGACATTGTGGGTGTGACAGTCTAATCAGAACCGGGATTATGGGGAGTGGGGAAACTGTAGCTGGGCTTCTTCTCGCTAATTGGATGGCTTGGAGGGAATGAGCTCGCAGAGACACTCAGTGGCTGAGGTACCTCAGTGTCTGTGGACACACGTTCTCTCAGGAGAACACGGGGCGGTTAAGTTGCTTTGTTCTTAAAGTGAGGAATGAATAAAGAATTCTTGATACTGTATGTTCTTCATTAAATGAGGACACAATGTTTTATTTCAAAATGGCTTGTTTAGAGAGCCAGTGCATACATGATGGGCCAAATGGCCTCCTATGCTGCGGCAGTTGTGTGATTTATGTGTAAGATTTTCCGTATGTGGTGTTGATGAATTAATGCAGCCACAATTGCTCAGCTTCTGAATAGTGTTGATCTGGATGGAGCTTGAAGCCAGCCTGGATATTGATTTTGATGGAGCTGTGGTTGTGAGTAACAGCAGCACACATTGGGAGCTTCTGTTTGCTCTCGCCCTGCATTGTTGCCTGGGTCAGCGCCTAGAATAGACTGTGAATCTATGGACCACAAATTCCCAGCATATTCCCACACAGCAGCTGTGTGTTAACCTGCGTCCTACCAGAACGGTCTGTATTAGCCAGTAGCAGGACCTCGGTGTGGTCCACTCATCAAACATTTCAAAGTATGAGAAAGCAAGAGAAAGGAGGGGGCTTGTCTTTGAAGGAAGATGTGGAGGATTGATTCCCTGCTCCATGTGATTTTAACCTCTCATTGTGTGTGTGTAGTCCACAGAGCCATGTTTCCTCATGATCAACCGTGGGACTGTTTCATCTTTCTTCTCAAAGTAATTGTAGTCTCCTGGAGGAGAGCGACTGAGAGAGGATAGGGTCATTTCTTTCTCGCACATCTTTCATCGTGATCATCTTCCTGTGGAAGGCGGCAGTTCTCAGCAAACTGCGGCTGAGCCTGTCTTCAGTTTGGAGTGTGGGCAAGCTGGCAGTGCAGTTCCGCGGCTGCGGCTCAGGGGGGGACAGACACACACACACACACACACACACACAGAGACAGAGAGGTGCAGTGAGAGACACTGAAAGCTGCTGCCATGCCTGCCAGGAATATTAAAATCCGTGCTCTGGTCATCTTAATCAGCCTGCTTCACAGAACAAGGAGGAAGAAGTGTTTAAGGTACAATTGCTTTTTTTTCTCCTTACTCCCTTTTTCAGTTTGAGATGAAAGTTCCTGGGACTGATTCAGTGCTGCAAATGGCTAAGTGAGGGGCGCCAGTAGCCGGACGAACACTGTTTCTGTGCTCCCCGCTGCAAGGCACAGACCATTTTAAAGATTTACATTGTGTTTTCGGATTGAAAACTGATTGGCTGTGTCTGAAGGAATCACATGGGGAAATTCCCTAACAAACATTGTGCAAGTTCCTAAAGCTGGATTGACTATTTCCTAACCACAGAACCTGATTATTTATAACACGCGATATTTAGTGTTTTATGCAACGTTTATTCTTTAAAAAAAACACACGCTATTCCTTTAGGGGAGAAGTGAACTTTAACATCTGCACAATTGCACACTATTAAGCAGAACTAATCACCTGAGTAGAGTTGGCTCCAGAGATCACTGAGTTCCTGTGCCTTGAGCTGTCTTAGTTTCTCAGCATGAGAGAGGGTGCGGACCAGGGAACCCTCACTGATACCCTTAATGGAAAGGGGGTAAACTACAGCCCCCAGCTCACTTAACCCCAACAGGAAGTGAAACTGGGGGTCAAGCTATTTTCTTTTGGACTGACATTCTGCTTGTGTGGTTGTTCTGAGTGACTTAACCTTTACTTCCATAAATATAGCTCCTGAGGCTGGGACAGCTGCCCTTTGTCTGAAATCTTGTAACAAGAGCTGAGTTTGAAAATAGCAGTGGTGCTGACTAAATTTTAACAGGAAGAAGAAAATATTTTTCGAATCTAATTAAAGTTCTGGGATGTGGAGAAACATTTATCTCGCTGAATATTTTGGCAAGTGAGATCTATAACCAGTTCCTGTGGGTCACACAGTCACCAGTACAAGGTGTGAAGTGAACTGCTTCACGATCGGGATGACAAGGCTGTCAGGAAGCAGAAAAGCTTCTGTTTAAAAGAACCGTCCAGGAGAGCTCTTCGTCTGTGGAATAAAAACAGCTTATAAATATTTAAAAAAAAGAAACATGAAGAAAATTGAGTCTGTATAGAAATTAAATTGTGAAAATGCTCTGTTGTTTGCTTGACTTCTTTTAAAAATAAAAACATGTTTTGTACAAAGGGATTTATTTAATGAATGAATCAGATATTTCTTCTTCAGGTTTGAATACCATCATTGTGATGTGCTTCAACAGAACAACTAGTGCCATCAGTTCACCACCTTGACATTTCATTTACCAATCACAAGACAAGACTGTTTTTTATATGTCTAGCCAAAAAGCAGAAAGTCTTAAAATAGAAACTTACTTATGTTAAAATCATCTAAATTCATTGTTATTTAAGATGATTCAGGAGGCCTGATTGATGATCTTAACATATAAGACTTCAAGGGGAGATCTGTGTGCTTCCTGACTGGGTTAGTGTTAGTCCTGGTTATCCATTATTCCCTGTTTATTTAGTGGAATTGGAGGGCTGTTTCACTGCTGTAATGACTATGACTGTGGTACAACTACTACGTATTTCTTTGGTAAAAAACAGAAAATGCTGGAATCACCCAGAGGGTCAGACAGCACCTGTGAAAGGAGAAACGGAATGAATGTTTCAGAATGATCAGAAAGGATCTGTTGAGAAGCTGCAATGTTCACTCTGTCTCTTTCTCTTCACAGATGATGTTGGGTTTCTTTTGCCAGTAAATGCAAGCATCATGACATCCTCGTAGCTAGCACACAGCTTCCTTCAGTTAGCCTTTTGTTGAGCTTATTCTTTGTACCAAAATGAAACCAGGGATGGACTGTGGGTCCAGAAGTGGTATGAGAACAGTTAGCTGAAGACAAAGGAAACTGCTATTTTCAGTTTAAGTACAGTATTCCAAAAGCCTATGAATCCCAATAATCCACCAAACTAGGAGAAACCTATAAAAGAGGCCTAAGGGGCAGCTTGTTCACACAGAGGGTGGTGTGTGTATGGAATGACCTGCTAGAGGAGGTGATGGAGGCTGGTACAATAACAACAATTAAAAGTCATCTGGATGGTTATATGAATAGGAATTACCCAAACTGAAGAACTGAAGAAGGGTAATACCTGAAACATTGACTGCTCCTTTCCTCCAGATGCTGCCTGACCTGCTGTGTTCTTCCAGCCTCCTGTTTGTCTACCTTGGATTCCAGCATCTGCAGTTTTTTTGTCTCTGAGTTTGCATCAGACTCTTGTTCTGCCATTGAGCTGTATTTGTCACCTGCTGGATCTTTAATATCACTGCAAGGGCAGCCCTTGTGAAAGTACAATATGTCAGATAGAGAACAGTGCAGTGTGGCAAAGTATACCAACCACTTAGAAAAGAACACCATGTCAGGACGTCACATCCACTGTGATTGATGCTCATGTTGTAGATCTACATCAGTAATATCAAAATTAGACTGGAAACTCATTTACTGCTGATTAATCATGTTTGTATCAGATGTCTTATGCTGCTATGATGTGGAGATGCCAGTGTTGGACTGAGGTGGAAAAGTCAGAACTCACTTCATCTGATGAAGGAGCAGTGCTCTGAAAGCTTGGGATTTCAAATAAACTTGTAGGACTATAACATGGTGTTGTGTGACTTCTGACCTTGTGCTGCTAGTTATGGGTTATTTGTTGATAGCAGACTCATCACTTCAGTTAAAAGAGCTGCAGTCTGATATCCATGTAAATGAGGAGTTCAATTCTCATGTGAAAGCATTCATTGAAGGTAGGGAAAGGTGAGTCATCCTCTGTCAACTGCAGAAGAACTTCTAAAATTTCAACAGAGAACAGTGGAGAAACTCAGCAGGTCAGGTAGTGTATGTGCAGAGAGAAACAGAGTTAAGGTTTCAAGTCCAGTGGCCATTCTTCAGAACTTCTAACTGTCTCCTTTTTAAAGTTTTAAAGCCTAATCTATTTTATGCATTCCCCTCAGTTACACTTGTTGCTTGAACCTTTTTCATACATATCCCACGACCAACATTCCGAAAGTAGATTCATTTTTAGTCTCTCCATGCTATCTGTGGGACCTTGCTATGTTCAATTTGTATACTCTGTTTCCTAGATGACCACAATACTTCAGCTTCAGAAAGAAAAGCTCAGTGGCTCTTTGAGATATCTTGAAGATATGAAAACTGTCCTATAGATGCAAGGCTTTCTTTCTATAACCTCTGAAAATAAATTTATTCTTCTGCTTGGACGTTCCTAACTGTTACTTTCTTCACAACAAAGCATAGTTTTTCAAAGATGCTGTTAAATCTTTAATCAGTTAGAAGTTTTTAAATGATTAATATTAAAGTAAAACCTTCTAACTGATTAAAGATTTATCAGCATCTCAGGTTTGTTTAATACATCCTCATCAGTGGTGTGACTCTTTGATCTTTTACTTATAAATTCTGTGTCTGATTCCACCTCTCTCTCTAGCACCTGAAGAAGGAGCGAGGCTCTGAAAGCTTGTGTTTTCAAATAAATCTGTTGGACTATAACCTGGTGTTGTGTGATTTCTGACTTTAAAAAGAATGTGAAAGCAAGATAAGATTCACAAGAATGGTTCCTGGAATGACTGCAGTGGAGTCAGGTTCACTTGAGGCATTCAAGAGGGAATTGAATCATTATCTAAAAAGGATGGGATGCTCGGGGCTGGAGGGAGGAGGTGGGAGAGTGGCAGTAGGGGTATTGCCCATTTGGAGAGATAAGACAGTGAGAACAGGTGGAATGGGTTTGTACTGAAACCATTTGGTGACTTCCCAGTCTTTTTTGGTAAAAGTTCATCATGCTTTCTTTGAGACTTTTTTTTTAAATCATGCCACTTCATTCTGACCCAGTTTTTCAGGCTGAAATCTATCAGAAATGTAGTTGTGTTGTTACTGATTTTTACAATAAAATTTTTTTATTGTCAGTGAAATCCTGGTGCATGCAGTAAAGGAAACAAGGTCAATGAGCTGGTAGCACAGATTAAAATTGGCAGGTACGATGTTGTGGGTATCACAGAGATGTAGCTGCAAGGGGATCAGGGCTGGGAACTAAATATCCAAGGATACATGTCCTATCAAAAGTACAGGCCAATGGGCAGAGGGGGCAGGATTGCCATGTCAATAAGAAATGAAATTAAATTGAAAGCAAGAATTAAAAAAGAGTGGAAAGGCATAAAGTCTGTGTGGGTAGAGTTGAGGAACCACAAAGGAAAAAAGACCCTGATGGGAATTAATGTCCAAGACTCCTGGCAGAATCAGGATGTGGGAAAAAATAAATTCAGGGATAGAAAAGTCATGAGAAAGATACTTTTACAGTATTCAGGGTGACTTCAATATGCAGGTGGACTGGGAAAATCAGATTGGTAGCGGATCCCAAGAAAAAGCGTTCATGAAATGTCTATGAGATGTTTTTTGTTGGAGCAGCTTGTGGTAGATCCCACTAGGGAATAAGCAAATGATGTGTAATGAGGGAGACTTGATTAGATGACATGAGAAAAACTATTGAGTACTTAGGGTCTGGAATGGACTGTCTGGAAATGTGGTGGAGGCAGGTTCAGTTGAGGTATTCAAGAGGGACATTGGATGATTATTTGGGTAGAAATGGTGTGGAGGGATATAGGGAAAAGGCAGGAAATTGGCACTGGGTAATAAAACCGGTGCAAGCACAATGGGCCAAATGGCCTCCTTATGCACTGTAACAATTCTCTGATTCTGCGACTGCAGTTTCACCTGTTATCTGGCTCAGTAAAAACTTAATCTTCAAATATCCTCACAAATCAATTCAGTCGAACTTTGGATCAGATCAGGTCAGATCTCAGGAAGAAGAGCCAGCCATTTGGGTCAAAGGAAAGCTTGTCACTTTGAACTGAAGCTTGATATTGAGTCATTCAGCAATTCTCTTCGTTTGTACCAGAATCAATACCATTTTCACAGGAAGCAAACATTATCACTAATGGCATTACTGGGCTAAATGTGCAGACAGCTCTCAATATCACAGTATACCTCAGCGCAACATTTGCCAAAAGTTTTGCCAT